TTTTTTTTGAGTTGCAAAATCCACTTGAACATGACGCTGCTTTTTTCGAAGTTTCTCAAGAACCATTCGTTTTGGCATCGTTGGATAGAGAATTGAATGATCATGATCCTCATGACCCCCCCTGGATCCGCCCTTGACCCCGTTATAGAAAAACTCACTATTTTTTGTGCTTTATGGTCTAGCAGAAGTTTGGAAGCGGTCGAAAATTGGACTTCCAGATTGCTGTTAGTTCGAGCGAGCCGCGGCGACATTTACCCATATCATGACTAGTGAGTTTTATTTCAGTTTAAAGTTCTATACCTATAAAAAACATCCTTTATTATTATTATTAAATAAAATTCGCATATCTCTGACGGCGGCTTATTCAATGGTCATGGAAAATCTTAGCGCATTCTAATTTATCGCCCCCTAAAACCCCCCACACCACAATCAAGTTTATTTTTTTGATCTTAGCTTTACACCCTGTACTTTGAAAACCGTAGATTAGACAAATTAGGGTAGTAAATCATCGTGTTTACACCCCTGGAATCTGTGGTAGGATTTTGTACATACATTTTGCAGACACCCTGAATATTCGGAGTTTTATTTTGATTACTGTTTTCCTCAGACATCATCTAGGTATTTACTTACCGATTTGTTTCCTGCAATAAATGCAAGCAATTGCAACTGTCCTGATCACAAGCCGCACAATGTCCAGAATCAAATCCAAGATAGCTGTCTACATCCTCGATTCTTAAAGCTGTCTCATAAAAACTCAGAGTAACAGCCTGATAATTCAGAGGCGATTGGGCCAAGACGGTCGCTTTTAAAATTAACTTTAAAGCATTATTGATGGTTTTCTCATTGTAGGGTATTTTTGTAACATGTGTACATTGTCTAAAAAGCTCCAGTCCAGACGTAATTTTATCCATCTCTTTGTAATTGTCATAGAGTGATTTGACTGCATTATAGAACTGATTAAGGTCTTTATTGTGGAGTTCCGATTTCTGAAAATATGACCAAAATGCAGGAACGATTTCATCGCGAAATCGTTTTTCCACTTGGTTAATGATAAGTTGTTGAAGGAAATCTTGCAAGCCATTCGCTTGCATATAATTACACAGTTCCTCAAACTGGGATTTAAAAAAAGTATCTTCTTGGTTGCATGTACTAAAGTCGTTTAAAATTGGAAATATTTTCTGTGAAAGAGCCCATGCTTTTTTACTATCTGGGGACTCATCCATTGCTCTTTGCAATTTTGATTAACTTGTAACATCAAACAAGCTATAAATGGAAAACTTTCATAAAAGGGGTATCTGCGTAGAAAGGCGCACACTCACTGTCACAGTCAGATTTGTGGGTAGATTTTTAGATTAGATTAGTTAGCTTTTTGAGCAAAAACACTGCAGTTTCTTAACTAAATTTATCTAAATCCAAAATAGTGTTATTGTAGGTTATTCGCACCAAAGATAAAGAGAAATAGACAGATACGCACAGATCACAAAAGTTATCACTTTGTCATCTGTGGCACTCGTTTAGTATGTACCAGAGACAAGGGATAATTATTTCTTGTCTCTGGTATGGATATGGGTGATGGTGTCGTTTGAGGTTCTCGGAATTTGTAGTTTTCTCTATTCTTGCCTTAAAGATCACTTCAAATTAAGCACTCTCAGTGAAAATTTTTCCTGAAGGATCCATAAATTAAGTCAAAAAACATTTACAAACTTTAAGGAAAATGGCCGCTCTCATGATAAATTTCAAGCGGTGTTGCCAAACTGCGCAAAATATTTTAAGTTAATGAAAACTGTTTCCTTGGATGAACCACCATGTAGATTCATTCAATTTGGGTTAGATAGGGTTATATAGGCACTAGCTACCATGCTAACACAAACTGAATTAAGTGGTTCATTCATTTTGAAATAATACTTTATATTCATTGTTACATATAAACTGTTAATAAATGGGTGAAATACTTGGCAACACCGCATTGTGCTGAATTCTCCAGAGAAATATAAACAATCCAGCAACTGACTATCAACATGCTACATAATCCAATAAAACGGCCTTACTGACGAGTCCATTTAAACGCCACACTTGCCGAGCGGGTTGGCAAGTGTTTATTTTCAGCCGCCCATTCTGGGTCAGACGCTACTTTCATGTTGCTCCTGCGGGAGGTAAAAGGCGCATTTATTTAACTCAAATCTGTTTAGTGAATATTTTTGTGGTTACACAATATGAACACATTTTTTTAATTTAAATAAGCATCATGTAATATTTGTAGGCCTTGGTCGAAGTATAAGCTTTCCTGTGTCATCGCAAGACATATTGAAATCCCTTAGCACTTCCCTCGTGCGCGACGTGATTATAGATCCAGCGATTACTCTTTTATGGACACCCAGCAGTAAAATTATCACTGAAAAATATTAAATATTTTGTCACATATGAAGCAAAATTATTCCAAATAATTATTTATAAAAACTAAGCAAACCTTAACCTAGGTTTAGCGCTAATATTATGAGGGTTCTGTTATTGAAAAACATATTAATTTAGCTCTAACTTGTAGGGGGGCGCCATCAACATGACTTTTTAGAAGTAAACATTCAGATTTTTTACGGTGAAAAATTTGCAATTTTTTGCTTCTTGTTGGCCAAAATAAAAAAAACTGGTACAGTGTCTGAATATTTTCATATAACACAATCATATTTGTTCCTTTCTTTATTTCTCCATTGGGATCTTCCATAGAAAGGCATCAAGGTGTGTTGAAAATCAAAATGAGCGCTGGCCGGCAGATTTTTTGAACGGTCGTAATCTTCAACGGACGATATCTTTCTTATTTTCGACCCACAACTTTCATGTTCGCTATTGGGCAACTTCTTAGGTCGGAAAGAATCCAATCAGGCCAAAAAACGCGATTGCAAAATTCTGATTTTTGGTCGAAAATTTCATCAGGGTAGGTAAGAGGTCGATTTTTCCAAAAAATTCAATTTCCTCAAAATACCTCGAGTGATACATCATTTTCATCGGAAGGAGACAAGGAATGCAACGAGCTAATTAAAAGACACCGGGGCCTTTCCAGAGAGAGAATTTATCAGGTTTAAAAAATTCGAAAAATTCAAATTAAGCGTTTGAAAAATTATATTTCTCTGGGCCGGCTGTTTATGGTCACTATTATTAACGTTTTAAAGAAATATCTGATTAAGAAACAATTTCGATCAGAAAACTATATACCCCACTGTGCGTCGATGTAACGATGTAACTTTTTATAAGCCCCCCCCCAGATCAAAATCCTGGATTCGCCACTGTCCTGAACCCTTAAATTAATTGCCAAAGCAACAGGGCTGATTAAATAACCGAATCCAACTGCTAAAAAACTGTATACATTAATTTTTACCCTGCGACACATGGGTGACTTAATCGTTCAACTTAAAAATATCATATAACGAAATACAGTATTTTAATATTATATTTGTATATTATTAACACTTACCAAGGATGACAGTAGATAAAATAAAAAATGGATGGTTGGTTAGCGATTGCGAAAGTGACACTATCCGGGTTTCAGGATCAAAAATCCATTGACTACCGCCTGTAGCAACGCATACTGATATTACTGCCAGTACAACTAAAAACCAAAAAGAAAGATATACAAAAATATATAAAAGCAGTACGAATATCTACGTACAACAGTATAGTAAGTAAATAAAAGTCGTGAAATATGTTTTTAAATCCGAAATACAATGAATCGGTCTTCGGTCATAATTTATTGCTGATCCAGCAGATTCGCACCCAAATTACTAGGAAGTGGCTTGGATATCCTTCAATGGAACAATTAGTGCAGTCGGATTAGATTAGATTTTTTCCGGGCACTAAATAGATGAAAGTAAAATTTTTTATAATTAAATTTGGTTTTGGCACTATAACTTGTTTTGAAGGTGTCTGTATACTTTATAAGTGGTATAAATTTTAGTTCCAGATATTCATAACTTTCTGGTCATTCCTATTTGTTATGTAAAAAGGACTCTTGCCAGATTCTAAACACATTTTTCTTGAGACGTCGGAGACTTCTTTGAGGCTGTATTTTACTGGTAAAGAGTTATACTACAACGTACAGTACATGAAAATTTAATTACTGACTGACCAAATAAAGTTATGGTACCATTTTCTTGAAACAAAACTAAATTAATTATTGAAAATTAACAAAACGCTGAAATCGACAGCTTTCTCCAGATATTCAGTTTTCCCGTGGACGACAGGAGAACGTGTTGTAAAGGATTACTAATTAAGGAATACTTGGTACCATTAAAATTGCTTTCCGATAATCTAGGGCTACCAGAAAACAAAAAATGAGTTGGACGGGCATCACTGTCACGGTCTTCATTATCCCAACCATATTATAATAATGGTGTTTCTTTGATTTTTTCGTTTATGGCATACTTTTAGATTTCGTTTATGGCATACTTAGCTTATTATCAACATAAAATAATATTTACTTCTCCACCTGGTAGTCGAAGGATGTAAGCAAGCTATAACTTCGGTAAGACGTCTCTCAAAGGCCTTTAGATCTGCAACATCTACTTTATAGGTTATGAAATTTGATTATCTACGATGTAATCAGCTTTACCTTCGCAAGCTGTTTGCTCCACAGACATTTTTAAAGTCAATAAATCGTAGCTAATCTTCTGGGAAGTACTTTATTCCTTCAATTTACYCACTTTATATTTTCTGTTTGYGAAACAATAACCTASAAACACATTAAAACAAACACAASTGWCACYACAGAATATCCCCCCTGGTAATGGTAGCAAAATAGGGTTAAGTTGMTATGCTCTTCCTCTATACAGAAACGCATAWTGATGCAACATARCCGGTTCCAGATAAACTTACTGTGTAGKATAAAATAATTAAACAACCAAACAGAWATAAACMAAATTTWAAAAAATTGGGGCACTAGGGCTTTGGCATGTAAAGAAATTTTCTTGAGATTGTCATAGCTGAAATTTTGTCGTGTAATTTTCCATTTAGTCGTAGYTATAAAATTAATATRCGGTTAAGAAATTAATTTGATTAAWTTATCATTGAGTGAGGCCACAACACTGTGCTTCTTCWTCAATTTGCGAATATCTGAGAAAGTTGGATAATATAATGACTAAAATACATAAAATGATTGTTAACGTTYCTTATGGGSAGTGCAATRGTTGCTGAAATTTMTTAAAACTTGCATTATTTATAAAGYAAAATTAACATTGAGGAAAACAATCAGTGAAATTGTTCAAGTGACAAATGRTTTTAAGCAATGCCAGAAAATTCATWTRTCACATTGTTGTTTCAGAGCCGAGCAAATCAATCATCTTTCAGAAAATATCCCGACAAAGGGARCAAATATTTGTTGCGAATAGTTCAGAAAGCAACAAAAAAAAGTTGTAACTGATTTGCTGACTACGTATTTAATAAAAAATTACATAATACGTTTTCTTTTATTGACTTGATATATTTATTAGGCTGATAACTGTAAATCAAGCTTGCAGTTTTCGGCCTGATAAAACGTGATGAATGCAATACAATCAAATACCCGATAAATTCGTCACATTCCATCGAGTTTCGGGCGCCCAACGCTTGGTGGCCAGCTAAATTGACATTCAAAATTCATAACAGCAGTTCTTTAGGGGGATATTCTGTGATTTCTCTCATATGATTGCTGTCACCACGCTGTCACCTCTGTTTGTTTTCTCCATCAGCTTTCGGTATTTTATATGATGGAAGTAATTTTTCCAATTGATATTTGGCTCACATTTTAACAGTTTTATTGAATTAACCTTTAGTAGATATATTCAAGTTCGGTGAGTCACACCACATTCTCATTCATTTTGCGCGTTTGGATTCACTGTAAAGCTTCATAGTTAACATTTTCAGGTTAAAGTGCAGTCCATACAGTGAGGCTGAAGCTAAATAGCATATCCGTTCAAAGCGGTCAGCTGCAAAAGATTACGAGAGAAAATATAGCAGGAATCACTGTGCAAAGTTTATTGGTAATTAACTAGTTACCTTGTCGTTTGAAGACACGCAAATCCCCAGGTGGTTGGCTGTTGCGTTAACTTAAAGTACACTTGAAGTTAAGAAGTTTCGGTATGGAAAACTCTTGGATAGTACATGCATGTCTCTAAAAAAACGTTTATACAATTTTAACTAATCAGGAACGCCTCAGGCCCTCGCGGAACATTAGCCAAACGCTTAGAGCATGTGCGTTTAACAACGCGCTCACCTGCTAGGAATTCCTTTTACCAACAACTTTTCTTAGTGGTAGTTTGTTCAAAAAATCGTTTTTTTGCCATCCATTATTTTCGAATAAACGCCGGGACACATTTATCCGATCAGAGTACCTTCCGTCGATGCCCCCAAACAATCGGATCCGTACCGATCGGAATGGGGAAGGCACACGTTTCAGTTTTCATACACCGATTTTTGGCTCCGATAGTCATACAGTTTCCATTCGCAAATCTAAGGGCAAACAAAATTGCAGCGGAGCTTTGGAAAAATGTTTGCAATTTTTCGCGGGTATGACAAATAATAACAACATCTTTCAATTTTGGACATTCAAGTTTAAATTCAACTTAGAAATCTAAGTTAGTTTTATTGTAAAAATGAATTATTCCAATCCAGAAAAGCGCGACATGA